AGGCTGGAGTGTAGTGGTGCAATCTTGGCTCACTGCAATCTCTGCCTCTCTGGTTCAAGCGATTCTCCTGCATTAGCCCCCTAAGTAGCTGGGATTACAGGCACCTACCACCACGCCTGGCTAATTTTTCTATTTTTAGTAGGGGCAGAGTTTCGCCACGTTGGCCAGGCTGGTCTCAAACTCCTGACCTCAGGTGATCCCCCTGCCTTGACTCCCAAAGTGCTGGGCCAAGCCCAGCCCAATCTTCCCTTTTTACGGATGAAACACTGGGGCCTGCCTTCCTCTCGCAGTTAGTGCAGTCTCTCCAATGCCCGTCTCCTGACACCCCGCCCAGTGCTCTTTCTACACATGGCACTCTCTCCTGCCCCTCCAGCCCCCACCCCAGCAAAGAAAAACAATCAATGTAAGCAACATCAATGTAAGGCCAGGTCCTCACCTGTCATCCAGATACCCCCCCATCATGTCATGACACAACAAAGTCCGGGGCCTCTGGCTGCTCAGAGGGGGCTGGCGACACGCCAGGGGCTCCAGGGCCACGTTAAAGCCATCCTCCATGCAGGGTGTCCACGCCAAGAGTTCCTCCAGCGAAGACAAGTAAAAGCTGACAGGTTTGGTGGTGTCCTTGTCATAATATCTAACTGGTCCGAGGACAGAAACATTGAGCAATTAATGGAAATTATTATAGGATTAATCGAAATGTTTTGACAATAAGCCCAGCCCAGAGGCGCATGTTCCTCCCTTTCTATCTCTGTGTTTTGGCCCTTTCTGTTCCCCCCAGTTGGATACCCTACTCCCCATTCTCCACCTACTGAAGGCTTCCTCCTCCCCAAAGACTCAGTTCTAGTGTCACCCCTGCAGGAGGCCACCCCCTCCACCAGAGAAGGAACATGAGAGGGGGTGGGGGTTGACCTGCCCCAAAGCCCCAGGCGTGAAGGTGGAGTCAGTATTCAGAGCCTCTGTCTCCTCACCTGGCAGGGGGTCCGGGGAAAAACTGACCACCTCTCGAAAGACTGTCTCTTCTTCATCATCTTTGATCCTAAGCAAAGAAGGAGTTGTACGTTTATAAATAAAAACATAAATAGGCAAGAACACTTAGAAGCAAATGGACCAGTTTCATCTAAATACAGAGGGACAGACATTCTCTGCCTTACGTTATTTAATATTAACTATAGAAACATTGTATAACGCAAGGAAGTGCCGTGTGATAGTCCTAAGGTTACCTGTATTAGCAACCAGGCCTTGGCTTCTGCAAGGACACACGTGCCAATGATTAGTCCTAAGAATAAACCTTACTCTAGGCCAGAGGCAGTGGCTCATGCCTGTAATCCCAACACTTTGGGAAGCCAAGACAGGAGGATCACCTGAGGTCAGGAGTTCAAGACCAGCCTGGCCAACATGGCAAAACCCCATCTCTACTAATACAGAAATTAGTCGGGTGTGGTGGCGCACACCTGTAATCCCAGCACCTCGGGAGGCTGAGGCAGGCAAAATTACTTGAACCCGAGAGGTGAAGGTTGCAGTGAGCCAGGATTGCGCCACTATACTCCAACTTGGGCAACAGAAAGAGACTCCATCTCAAAAAACAAAAAACAAAAAATAGAATAAACCTTACCCTCTAAAGCAGCCACCCAAATACCACACTCCAAAGACCAGACATATATACTTCACAGGGTCTCCAGGATTTTCTACGGCCAAGGGGCAATATCCAAATACCAAAAGTACCAGAAAGTTTCAGGTCCTAAGAGCAGAAGCCAAGCTTTCTCTATAGGCCACAC